ACTCTCTATAACGTCAACTCCCTATAACGTCAACTCTCTATAACGTCAACTCTCTATAATGTCAACTCTCTATAACGTCAACTCCCTATAACGTCAACTCTCTATAACGTCAACTCTCTATAATGTCAACTCTCTATAACGTCAACTCCCTATAACGTCAACTCTCTATAACGTCCACTCTCTATAACGACAACTCTATAACGTCAACTCTCTATAACGACAACTCTCTATAACGACAACTCTCTAAAACGACATTTTTTTCTGGTCCCTACGATGTCGTTATAGAGAGGCTGCACTGTATTAATGTTACTATCAGCATCCTTCACGACAACATAGGCGTAACAAACTGGAGTAATGTGGGTGGTTGGCGGGTGTTGTGCTCCTTCTTTCCGATCTTCGTCCTGATCTCTCCTCCTTCTTTTCTATATTTGTTGCTCTCTTGTAACACCTCTAGTCTTTAACATTTTTATGACCTTATCGTGTTGCAAGTTCCGTAAATCGCTTATCCAAATTAGGCTAAACTCGCGTAATGTTCTGTGCTGTCCACAGAGACGCGCTTCCGGGGAAGGGAACTTTTTCCGCGACTGGACGGACTACAAATACGGATTTGGCGACCTCTCTGGAAACTTTTGGTTCGGCTTGGAGAAAATCCACCAGCTGACAAACCAGGCAAGTTGCTCTTACTTGAACATTGTGAAAATGTACAACAGCAACAACCACAACAATAGCAAAAAAGAAACCAAAATCATCAACAACAATGACAACAACAATAACTAGAGCAACAACAATAAAATCACAACCACCACCACCAACAACAACAGCAACAGCAACAACAGCAGCAGAAACAACAACAACAAAATCACCTTCAACAACAACAACAACATCAACAACAACAAGAACAACAACAAGAGCAGCAGCGGCAGTAGCAATACATAATCAAGAAGTTGTTGTTGTTGTTGTTGTTGTTGTTGTTGTTGTTGTTGTTATTGTTGTTGATGTTGTTGTTGATGTTGTTACTGATGTTGCTGTTGCTGTTCTATAATTCACATCTTAACTCTAAGAGGTCGGCACGACTACTGCCAAGATGCAGCATTATTGCCCCCCACCCTCCTGTTTTCCTCATTGATTCTGAATAGTACAGTATCTGCTTTTCTCTACAGCAGCTCGTGGTGCCATTCTGTTATATCGCATTTTCTTCTTTTCTTAACATTTTGGTTTGTACATTAATGCCTCTAGCTCAGCTTGAGGTATAATATTTTTGTCATGCTGAAAATTCTGACATATTTCAAATAACATTTTTATAAAAATACAGATCTACCGTAATCCTTCTATATGGCTGAGAATGCTGGACACTCACTAAAGACAGTGAAAATAAAATAGAAGCAACAGAAGTGTGGTTTCTTAGGAGACTGCTAAGAGTATCGTGGAAGGAAAAGAAATCAAATGAGGTAGTGCTTGATGAAGCCCACGAGGGACGCTCAATGATAAAAACAACCAGGAAACGACTAATTAAGTTTTTGGGACACCTGAATAGACATAAGGGTCTTGAACATCTAGCTCTCACTGGCAAAATTGAAGGCAAACGAGGCAGGTGTAGGCCCAGAACAACCTACTTAGGGAACTTAAACAAATGGGTAACAGGGAAAGATCAGGGAAATGTAGCTTTTTTTAAAGCATCCGAACAAAGGAATGAATGGAAAACCATGATCGTCGATGTCTGTCGCAGATCTGGCACTGGATGATGATGATGATGATGATGATGATGATGATATGATCATGACCTTTACACATTTTCTACATCACATAATTTACATGTTTTTCTTTACTGATCCCAGTACGGACAATTGGATTACAATGGCATCCCCCCACCGGTGTGTGTGTGTG